TTGGCATTTTGATGAAACAGTATATTCATTGTCCATTGCCTTATGAATAAAACATGCTTATCCCTATAACACATCGTGCTCTGTATGTACTTATTACATGCGCGATTCCTGCATGACAATGCTCTAGAACTTTGGCCGATGGAACGTTTCAGATGTCAAAGAGGTACAGTGTACAAACAAGTCTATTCCTTATTTTGCAAAAAAGGTTCAAGTAAAAATATATAGGCTCCAAGAAAAGCACTGTGATCAGATGTACTGGGTATTTGTAAACGAAAGACACGGTACATAGTTTAATGTTTAGGTTAGCAAGATATGTCATAGTGATTTCTTTTTACTAGTATTACTAGTATCTACTGTGAGAATGTAATTATAGTATTTAAGAAACCGTAAATTTGCTTACAAAAATAAACTGCTGGTAAAATACTTGAGTATACTCATGTTTACATAATAACAAGTTTATATTAGCTGTGTTCGAGATTATTTAATGAATTTGTATTTCATTGAAGCGCTACACCAAATTGAAGTGATTAATACACTTCATAAACATTAGTGTTGTGAGTGAGCGAGACGTTTTACATCTTTTTAGAGCTTTAAAACCTTCTTTTTTTATACTTTTAGTACATTTAGTTTTGTTGATGGCAATACTATTTGATTGTTTCTATACTATCTATTTTAAGCAACCAAGCTCAGTCGCTGAGTCAAGGATATAAAACTGAAAGAAATGAAAGGACGGATGATTCGGTAAGCCTTTAAATCATTTAAATAATAATTTAAAGTGTATAAAGCTATAAATATGCTGCCTTCCGATTGTAAAAATATTGTCTAATTGTTATTTTAATGATGACATAATATATAGAATGAAAGAAAAATATCAGTATTTTATTGAATGCTTGTGGAACATGCCTGAAAATATTGTAAGAAATAGCTGCGAAAAATTTTGTTTCGTAATATTTTATTATGTAAACGTACAATATTCATGTAAGCATAAAATCACATAGACTATCTATACAATAAATCGTTCAAGAAACGTTAGATATACCTTTTAGAAATTAATAGAACATAAAAATTAAATGTATTTTCTCCTCAAACAGAAAGGTGTGCAAGATTTAAAACAACATTTAGCAATCTGTTCTCGCGAACTCGACGAAGAAAGAGAGAGACAAGTGAAGGCAGTTTCTTACATTGAACACCTGAAAAAGAAATGTAATGAATTCGAAAAAGAGAAGAACGAAATACAGATGAGGTTAGACTTCTTTGATCATTAAAAAAAATGAAAAATAACTTTTCATTTAAAGAATTTAATTATGTTGAGTCAATAAAAAAGATTAAGATACTGCATTTAACAAACAAAAATCAGGTTCAGAGATATTTTTAAAATCAGATGAATAATATCATCTAGCATTTCTGACTTGAATTTCGAATCAATATCTCCATGCTTAATTTTTGCTTTGTACTTTCATCTGTTTTTGAAAAACATATCAACAATTATTCTAGATTGAGCAAAGTTGCGGGAGACAGACTTACAGATAACAATCCTGCAATAGCAGACCTTAGTGATCCTAACAGACCAACAAAGATCGGTGAAATATACAGTGAAGTGTACGACAATGAATGGACAGATGCTTTTGAAGCTCTCACTAATGCAGGTTATGATGAAAGGGAAGCAATTGACACATTGCGATTGACCTTAATGGTACATATAGTTATTTAAATATCATAATACACATAAATATACAGACAGTGCATAAAATGGTATTTCAAACACGTTTGTTACTTTGATTGGGTAATGAAATAGTTTTTCACGAAATCTATCAAAGAATGTTTATTTCTGACTGCTGAATTTAGAACATAATTATTTTAGCCAACGTTGTCTTAAATATTTTTTTTTCTTTTCAGAATGTCATTCAGTTTTGCAGCAGGAAATCTGAATCATTGATCAAACGGACAGAAGAAGCTGTAAATATATTGTTTGAAGAGTATAAAGCTACGGAGCAGAAGGTATATGGGTTTTTTTTTTAATTGAAATTCAAAAAAAACATAACCGATTCGTTATCATTGAAATTACTCATATCCAGATAAATTAGAAATTTTTATGCAAATAACTTATATGAGTTTTTAAACATTACATGAATTTAAGTAATAGAATAGCACGAAACACTGCAAGATACCTCAACAAAAAATTAAGTCAGTTTGTTTTTAATACCGCTCAAGCCGTTGCTAGGGGGGCGTGAGGGATAGTGCACGTATTCATTATCCCTCATGTACAGACTCAATCAAACCAAGTCTGCAATTTTCTTGTGATTTCGTTGTGATTATTGCTTCCAAGCTGTTTCGAGATTGTAGTATGTAATAAGATAAAGATACTCGGTGTAATACGTGTTATGACAAATATGTCATCATTTTGACATTTATTTTAACGGTTTGAAATAACTTTTACATACATGTATATAATTTCATATATAGAATTAGTATTTGTAAAAAATGTTCATACTCATTGTTTAATATCAGTACGTATGTTGTTATGTAGTTATCTACATAGTACATAAACTATTGCTTCATGAATTGTTTATGTTTTAAACGTGGCGGTGCATGAAACATTCCTTTTTCACGTTTTATAGATTCCTTTTCTTAACATGTTTTATGTTAAAGATAAGAACTATTAATCTTGCTTAAACATCATATAATTACAGAGTGACAAAAGACATTTGACAATGCCTAGGAAAAGTGTAAGTTAATCTATCAAGATATGGTTGATATATTTTGATATTAAATACAGTTTTTAAGTCTAAATATTTAAGATAAATAGACATAACTGCATTCAAAATAACAATACCATAACATACTAAATGAAATACTTGTAGTTTCAATAAAGTATGAAAAGGTATAATACTCTCAAAACAAAGAGTCAAGTTATTGAAATATTGAATAATATATTGAAATAAATAATGTGTTTCGGAAAATATTTAGATATATACCTGCTAAATAATTATAAAAATGAAAATTATTTATACCTTTGACAAATTGATTTTTTCTATTCATAATTACTTGTGGTGTCATACTATTACACGTAACTTTAGGCAGAACATTGGGGTATAATTGGTCGCAAAACACTTCCTGATCCGGAAGATATTTTCCTACAAAACAAGTGGAAGCCAAAAGACAATAGTGAAGCAAACGCTAATACTAAGTATCAAACAATTGCGAAGGTATGTTAAAATAACATGCATAGATAAACCATTAAAATTACGTGCACACGTTTTATTCAAGTGTACAGCTAAATTGTGATTTAAGAACCACAATGTGAAACTGTGATGTAAATGTTTATTTTAGATAGCAATCACACAACCGTCGCCTTTCAATTGATTTATTAAAGATGAAACACTTAGGCTGGTTTAATTTAGACAAAAAATAAACAACATTTCCATCTAGGATAATACTGGAAAATTACGTATGTGTATACCTGTATTTTTTATGATTGAGTGATGTTTTTGCTATAATTGCAGACTAATTCTATTTCTTTTTTATCATTTGACATAAAAGCCAAAATCGTCCGATGACGCAATTGCCAACCAGTTGAGAAAATTTAGAAAGGAAGTCGCTGTATCCATGGTGCCACTTGTTGAAAAGGTCTTTAAGATTATCATAAGAATAGTTATTCAAGTAAACTTCAAATACATATGTTATTTATAATTAAAAACATATCTTTTCTTAAACATTTATATAAACTACATGTAATAGCTCTTTTACAAATCCTACGTAAGCATCATTTTCCAAAAGGAACTAAATTTTGGTTAAGGTTTGATTCTCATTAGTTACAATGATTTTGAAAAAACATACGAGGGGTTATCCAAAAATTCGTGGACTTTCTTTGTTGCGTAAAATGTATTTGAGATATTAATTTGAAATTCTTACACTGCCTAGAAGAATTAATAACAAATTAACACAGAAAAATTCATGTGAGTAGCTTTTTACATTCCAACAATATTTAATTTTACATAAACACATGTCGGCGACAGCGGCGCACTCCAAAAAGTTATTGACGTCAACGTCATAATATTAACGTACAACTTGTGCTTCAACGTTACGCAGTCAATGACGGTTACTGCTTCTCAAAGTAATGTCAATCACTAAATTTATTTTGCCACTTTAACACTAATGATTGTGAAATTTTCTTTTCTCTGTTCGTCTGCTGATTTTTATGAAATGTTTTTAAAGGTGTAAGCCCCAAATTACAACAAAAATTTATGATCGTTATATGATCTTGCGATTTTCTAATTACCGCGTGTCCGTCATTTTCCAGTTGTAAACAATAAAGGCGTCTGGCGTTTCTAGCGATATCAACAAAAATAAACGTAAAATGACGTCCATTATTTTAAAGAATTACTTAAATGACATCATAGAAGAAACATGCGATGTTCAGCGGGTTTTCTACGTTATTTTTTTAGTGTTTTTAGCAAAAATATACGATGACTTACTGTGTTTTTCTACCGTGCGCCGGGTGCCGTGTATGTGCTTATTTAAAAGCAACATGAAATCATTATTAATGGACACAACTGACTGTTTCTTTCAAAATGTGTTGATAATATTCTACAATGTATGCTGATAAAATTTCATTACAATACACGTTGCTGTTAAAAAGATATTTAAAAAGTCCACGAATTTTTGGATAACCCCTCGTATATGACAACAATGAAAATGAAAGATTAATGCGCTCTGGTGTTTTTTCAATAGTTTCTTATTTGTAAATAGGCATACATATCCGCAAGCTGGAATGAAGAGTGTATACACGATTTAAAACCGTTTATCCGGAAGTGCCTCCTGCTTGGATGGATGATGGTTGTGCAGTCACCACCTATGACCTTTGCAGAGTTTAAACCAAATGAAGAGTTCAGGAAAGAGATTTACAAGGAATACACAACACGCGGATCACATATTGATTATGTAGTATGGCCAGCTTTACTTCTGAATCAAGATGGACCTATTGTCGGAAAAGGTGTAGCTCAAGGAAAGAAGGCTAATTAGCAAGGTGTAATAACACTGTTTGCTATTGGAATGGAAACAACTGTTGTATTGTCTTCTTGTATACCATGTGATCAATATTCTAACTTCATAACAAAACAAAAATATGACTTAAACGTTTCTGAGGTTTGGATTTATCACGTTTGTTTTCAATTTCTTATATTTATTGAATCTATAAGCTTGAAAATATAAACAAGACAATAACGTATATATAATGATTTTGTATAACTTGTAAGTGTTGATAAATGATAGCATTTCATATGTGCGATCTGAAAGCTTGTAATTTTTATATAAAAAAAATATTCAGTTAGTTTACACTAATTTATTTAGTACGATTGAGTAAGAAGCTATAAGATTAACGAAACACTCTCTAATCTCGAATTTTTATTTCGTTTTATTGTGTTTCGATCATTCTTCTTGAGTGAGCTGATGAGGAATTTTGAATTTATAATAAAAGACTGAATCATATCAGATGTATTATACGCTTCTAAAACATCATTATTTACCTTGCACAGTATAAAAATAATATATTTTTTCCTGTTTTTTTTGTTATCATTTTTGTTACAACGATACCGAGTTGTATTTTTTAAATACAACTGCATTTAACCAGTCCTAGAAAGTGTTATAACATTATAACAAACCTTATCAAGCTGTATAAGATCACTATACGAGTTTGTATTTATAATTATATGAAATGACCCAATTCTTAGATTCCTTATATCAACTGGTACGGAAAAGGCAAATCATCGTCTTACAAAGCAGTGTTAAATTAAGAACGATGCACGTCATATATTACAATGAAACAACTAATTTCGTGCCATAAACTTGGTCTTGCATCTATGAAAGAAAATGAGTTGCGAAATTTCGCATTAGTGTTGAAGAGTGATTGCGGTGTGCCTAAAATACGTAAAGTGGCGTAAAGAGGCGTAAAGTGGCGTAAAGTAAATGACTACCGGCGTAAAGTGGGGGAAAAACTGGTATCTGGCGTCAAATCGACAAACTCTTTCAATATTTAACTACATACCTATTATACTGATATTTCTGTGGGGTTTAATGTGTTGAAAAAGTAAAAAGGGAATGTAAACATGTATCCGATGTACATTCACGATATATAATAATAAAAATATGTCAATGTCTTCATACTTAATTATTTAAAGTGCACTTTTATATATATTTCTTCCAGAGTTCTACCTTTCTGTCTTTTTATTTTCAATTTTCTTAATGAACGAGCTTTATGTACAAATAATTTCCGTGGCGTATCAAATAATATCCATGGCGTCACAAATAATATCTGTGGCGTAAAGTGGATTGAAACCAGTCGAAACGGTATTTCGTCCCTTCCAATGGGTCTATATTTTATATAATAAACATGATTTGTGTTTACCCTAATTTCAGATAATAATTATTTATTTTCATTCAACTTAAAAACACAATATCGTGAAGTATATGGAAACTGGTGAAAAGTGGATTGTAAATTGAAGACTTGCGTGATGAGAACGTACATTAATCTATAAATCTGTCCAATAAATAGTGAATATTTGTAAGGTTTGAGAGAAATTAACATATTTACAAACCCATTTTCTTTTTATCTAATGCCTTAAATGTGAAAAAAAAGGTTACCTAGTGTTTTTATCAAAGCGCGCGAAATAAGCGCACGTAAAATAGACGTCAGACGTTGAACAGCTAACGCTGCAAACTAAAATAATGCGAGTTTCATTGCGGCGTTAGATTTAACTATTTTAGAGAAATAATGATGTTTTAAATGAGAAATGTGCTATAATGAACAAAATGCAGCACTTACATTTTATGTAAACTTACAAATATACGGATTAAACATTACACGTACACCTAACAAGTTGGGCACATATCATGGTGTGAGTGATAATTACTATGCGTAATATGGATTTTATTTCACAAATAATACCCAGTGTTTCAATGGTTAGCATAAAATAAATGCATTTGAAAGACTAACTGGTAATGCTTTGCGAAATTTGTGAAAAGAGAACATTGGAGGATGAATATCATTTCATTTTGTAGTGTGACGTATTCAAGGAATACGAAAACGATATATTCCAAGTTACTATATTAAAATACCTAATATGATTAAATATGTTCAGTTCAGTTATGGGTGTCAAGTGAATATGGACAAACGTGAACGCGCAGGTTTAAAACGTGAGTTCTGGGACGATTGTGGTGCATGGGCAAAAAGCTCCAGCACAATACTACTTGCCTTCTGATGGAAAGCTTTTGTTTCTTACAAAAAGACATGGACAGTTTTGTGTAGAAAAACCCGGAAAAAATTTTGAAATATTGAGCCCTCAACCACAGGCTAAGGACTTACTTGTGATCAATAGGTCATATAACAAACTTAAAGCAAGTGCTGAATACAAACGACGTATCTCGTGGATTGGAAATGTTCCATCTGGCTATGAAGACTTACGTACAAACTGTGTCATCTATGAGTATTCAGGACGTTTCCCAGACAGAAGGGTGCATGGATTAACTAAATCTAAGAACAATTTCCAACCCTACATTCGAGCAAAGCCAGCTCTGAAAGTAAAAGCAAAGGCGATGCTAAAAACAGACAGCGCAAAAAATGTACATGACCATCTGAACAACGGCAATGATATCCACGAATTGCCTAGGAACTTGAAACAAATGCAGAACATGAAATATAGTGAAAATCGTAAAGCTAGAAATGAAAAGGACAATCTACACCTACGAAACATTGCTGATCACATATTAAACATTGAAAATAAAGTTTACTTGGGACATAGCTTCATTAGGTCAGTGATACATTCACCGCCTGGGCCATCCGTTGTTCTTTACACGGATGAGCAGATTCAGGACATTAAAAGATTTTGTTGTAAAGAAAACGGATCTATACTTGGTGTTATTTTTGACTACAACCGTATTTAAAAACTTGTCTGTGGTTAGGTGTGATACAGGCGCACCACCAATATTCTTAGGACCTTCATTTTTACATAGAAAATCTGACTTCGAAACTTTTAATGTATTTTTCTCTAATGTGGCCTCGAAATTCAGTGACGCGGAATTAGATAAATTAATAATAGGATCAGACGACGAGACTGCGTTACGGAAGAGTCTAAAAAGGTCCATTGTTGGTGCGACCCAAGTAATCTGTACACGGCATCTTCGGCAAAATGTTAAAGAATATCTGATAAAAAAAAGTAGGCGTCGACGAAAAAGAACGTAAATTACTTATAAATGAACTGTTCGGCAAAATGCTAGCGACACTATAGTTTATAACCAGAAAATGGATAATTTATGGGGCATCGTAGATACGATGGCCCCTAGGTTTAATCCGTATCTTCAAACTCTCATATGTTTATATCTCATATGTTTAAAAGAAAATTCATTAAATTCTAAAAATTGTCATATTGAAAAAATAAGATAATACTATGTTCAAATGTGATATTAGAAAATATTGATAATTGATACACAGTATCTTTGAATATATAAAATAAACATGTAGGTATGTGGTGTTTAAAACTCTACACACTATAGATGGTCAAACTATGAATATATAGTGATCAAACGTACTTGACCTGCAATAGGGAATGCAGCTTTTCATTTTACATTCATTCTTTTTTCAAACTAGACAATTAAAGCAAGAATTTCATAGATTTCAATACATTTTTGCTATTAAAAATATTTACTTAATGATGAGCATAGTATATCTTTAATATAGCTATAATTCTATGATTTGAAAGAATGTTGTTCAAAATGCTCATTAAATTAATTATTATTTCCTTTACTTTGTTTACCTTTATAATTTTAAACGTCCATTTTCAGAATACCATTCATATGCCAATAAGATGTTCAGTTACATGATACATATGCGTATCAGCTTCACTTGTGTATTTGTTTTATGTTGGTCATTCCTTGTTCAATGTTCTATTTTTAAAGATGCTTAACAATTTTTTGTTTCCCCTATATTGGAAATATACTCAATTGTCGGGATAATGTTAATTATTCTATAAACATCTTTCAGTTAGACATTCCAGAATACATTAGAAAAATAGTCATTTTTTGAAATTATCTATAAGTATATCACAAATCATTATTATACAGTTGATGGTATTGGTAAATAACTTTTTTTAACCTTCCCTTTTTTAATCCTATTTGGTTTGAGGATTCTTGATAATGTGATAATTTTATGCTGATATGACAATCATTTTAATTTCGAAATTAACAAATAAGCCATACAAACACGAACATTGCAAAAGTTGTAGCACACTTTTTATTTTGTGCATTTAAAGAACGTCTTTGTATAAATTTATTGTATTATCTAAAGATATATCTTATATAGCTTATTTGTGACATGCTTTTGAATTTGTTATGTTGTACACTGTAATTGTTTTTTTACATGCCTTATAATAATGTTACATTAAACATGCATACATGTTTTTGTATGTGACTTAATCTTATGTAGTGAAACATGTGTCAAGCTAGTTGTAATCTTAGCAATAAGCTGTTAATATATAGTAACATGTTAAATCACCATAGGTCTATATTGTCGGTCTTTAGTTTCGAAATTTTCGAAAGGCTGAGCGATTATGTCGAAATACAGTAATGTTTCATATCTTAAAAGACCTTATTTTTTTGATCTGTTTTCGTCAACATGCCCCAGAATAAATCATTATATGAATTTAAGTCCTTACATACGCTCTGTATGGCTTTAGATAAAGTTATTAAAAAAATTAATTGTAATAGCTGCACATTATATTTCCCGATACTAGTTGGGCACACGTTTCACGCATAGATATTCAATTTTGCCAGGGAAGGGAAACGATTCGTACAAAAATAGTATATTCACACTTGCAGAGTTCTCTCCCTAAATACATTTCTGATTATTATGCACACTGATTTTGTTATCTAAATATTAGTATGAATGCTATCATATATTATTCTTATGTGATTGGCATTCCTCAGGCAGAGAACTTCTCAGTTCGAAATATATATGTATAAATGTATGTACTTCTAGGTTATGAAATCCTATGTCTCACTTTGCACTGTAAATCGACTATGAATTTGTTGTTACTATTTTATTGTTGAATAAAAGTTATGTTATGTCAAGTTATATTATGTTATGTATAACTGAGATAAAAATGAAAACATTTCCTCAATGCCGTGTCCTAAAGTATTCCGGTCGGTAATGTAACGATTCGCCACATTAACGATTCGTCACATAACGATTCGCCACAGAGTAATAACGATTTGCCACAGTTAAATAACGATTCGCCACATGTTGAAAATACAAACTTTTTCACACCTATATTAAAACTGTCTTTGAAACCCTCTTTCCCTTTTATATTTCATTCGTAAATTACATTTATTAATGCTGAAAATTATACTAAAAACGGCTTTTATTGAATAAAAACACAGTAAAACAAACATATTTTATTACCAAAATTACATTACACAGTGATTTGTTAGTGATAAAACCTGGATTTATTTTATTGAATAAAAATACATTAAAATAAACATACTTCATT